TGACAATGACAATGACAATGACAAAAATATTTATTTCCTTTGAGCATGAAAATTTACGAAAAATATAAATGTACAACATTTTTAAAGATCAAAGAAAATTGGAAATTCCTGAAGCATAGCTTGTAAATGGAAATCCCAAATTACATAATTAAATATTTCTTTTACATATAAGGTTCAAAAATAATTCAAAGGCCTATTTTACTTAAATAAAAAAGTTTAAAATTTATTAGAACAATTCTACTTCTTTTCTGTAAATTATATTTTGTATTCATTAATAACAACATTTTAATTACTTTTAGTTTCTTTATATTTATAGATGATTAAGCAATAAATTAAGTACAGTGTCTACAATCTAAAATAATATAAGAGAAAATTTGTAAATAATAAGTTAATCTGAATTCCTATAACTATAATGTCTTCTTTCTTATAACAGCTAAGTTTTAATAATAAATAAAACTGTTAAATCGTTATACATATATATACCTATATAGATATACCTATATACTCATACATATATATAAACATTTACATACCATACACACATATACATGCATACATACACCCATACGCACACACATACGTACGTACGTACATACATACATACATACATACACAGGGCCTACATACATACACCCACACACACATACGTAAATTTATTGTTGTTAAAATGAAAATGACATTTTTTGGGCAATGCGGTATATAAAAATACTCAGAATAACATTCTAAATTATAGCAAAACACAGATTTCCGCTATAAATCTAAATTATATTTACCTAATAGATTCTTTTTGTATATTTTTTTAAATAAAATTTTTTTAAATAAAAAAAAAAGTGTCCCCTCCCCTTCTCTAGCTTCCTGAAACAGTTTCCCAAACATCTATAGAACACGTCATTGTCTCCCTGGGAACCACCATTCCATAATAAGCTAGAATCAGTGCCTATGGTTAGATCCTACCAGGTACTGTAAGCCTATTCACTTATTCCTGGGTGGAGAGAGACAATGATTCCCCATTGCTTCTTTAGACTCTTCTCACCATTTCCGGTCATATTGCTTTTACCCCCCACTAAATGCTACATGCTCCATTATGCACTGCTACCACCACCTCACCCTACAACTGGGTGTAGAGAGAGAATGCGAGAAAAGTGATGAAGTATCTATAGCATTAAAATCTAAAATACCAGATTTTCTCACATACAACATATTCTTATTCTTATTCCAATATAGGAAAGATGTGCTGACATGCCTGAGCCTCGGTTCCTGTATGGTTCCCATTACTCCACCCCTGGATATGTTTTGTATTACCTGGTTCGAGTCGCTCCAGAGTACATGCTTTGTTTACAGAGTGGCAGGTTTGACCAGCCTGACAGACTCTTCAACTGGTAAGACAAGGCCAGATTAAAAGATTAATGTGTTCCTCATCTCCTCCCATATCGTTCTTCACAGGCTGAAGTATGTCAACAAATCTAACAGAAATCTACCCATTCTGATAAACAGTAACTATGTGTTTTTAGACCTGGCAATTGAGAAATGAAGTTTAATGTAATATATGACTGGGTAGAAAAAGATGGGAACAAAAATTTACTCTTTACCCTTTAGGGGAGAGTTTTTTATACCTTGTTTCGTGAACTTATGAAGATTAAGGGCAGTAAAAAAATAGAAACAATTTGTTTTCTTATTTAGCAAATGGTTTTGCCAAAAAACATCCAGATGGAGGAGAAAATGAGAATTTATTTTATTGTTGAATGTAAACAGTGTAGTAATTGGATGGTTAAATGCTTTAAATTTATATAATTAGGAAGAAATATACAATATCTTATTTTTGGAGATTTCAAGGCAGCAGCAGGCATAATAAAAATAAATAAAAACTTTAGTTTTTTTCTGAAATTTCCAATTTTTTGTGGCGCCAATTGTGCTAATTGGCCGAAAACTTTATCTTTATTTGAAATCATTATTATTGGCGGGTGGCAGGTTCGCTTAACAATGTATAAAAAAATTCTTGCCTTAAGATTTATCTTACATCATCAGCATTCAAGAAACATGGGGAAATGTTCTGTCTCTCCCATCCGATGTTAAGGAGCTTATTCCGGAGTTCTACCTGCCGGAATATGCAGACTTCCTTGTTAATAAGCAGTCGTTGAACTTGGGTGTAAGACAGGATGGATCAAAGGTCAACAACGTGGAGTTACCACCATGGGCTACAGGTAATTCAACCTTCTATTAACCATTTTTAAAATATGAGATTAAAATTGAGTATGCCTTGAGCACTACTTCAGTGGATATATGCGCTTTATAAATCTTATAATAATTATTATTTTTATTTTATTTATAATTATATTGTTGCTTCAGAATTTGCTATTTGGAAGTCTATGTTATTATATTGACAATGCTAATGAAATTAGTTATTGAATATTAATTGTAGCTTTGGTTGTTTACCCTTGTTAGTTTTACCATATTTCTTGATTTAAATTTTCTATCAATACTTTCGCCAAAAAGTGAATAGAGACTGCAGTTTGTAATATGTACAAATACCCAGTCATTCAATTATAGAATTGTTTAACTTTACAGTAAACAGGTAAACTATCTGGAGCTTTATAAGTTTCAATCCCACTTCTCACTCAGCGTTTCACTAATAATGGAATAATTTATTTCAGACGCTAAAGATTTCTGCACTAAGTGTCGGGAAGCCCTGGAAAGCGACTATGTATCCACACATCTACACAAATGGATTGATCTCATATTTGGCTTCAAACAACGCGGCAAAGAAGCTGAAAAATACGACAACTGTAAGTTTTAATTTTTTTAGGTAACTTTTTGTTATTTTTGTATATCTTGATGGTCTATGTACATTTGTCGATTCCTGGAGCCAAAAATGTAACTGTTTATATAGCTGATGATAAATCTAACTTCTCTGACAGTTCTGTACATGTACTTTAATAAATATACATTATTATTTTTAAAGTAAAAATGAAAAGCTATATTTGATAAATAACTAATTACTTTTTCAGTGTTCTACTATCTGACCTATGAAGGTGCTGTTGATATAGAAAGGTATGTGTCATTCCTTCACACACAAATTAAAGCACATTTACATTAAATTTTCTCCTTTTAAAATGTGATAAAAAAAAATACTGGTAGTGATTAACTGTAGTCATCATAAGGTGACTATAATTATATTATAATTGTTGGCATCTGATTTGTATTAATACTCATTCAATTTATAAAGTGCATTATACTCTGGTTCATAATTTAGATTGATTGATAATAATGAGGTGGGGTGATTGTGTGCTACATGATATCACTGAGGGCAGTATAACACCTTCTGATTAAAACTGTAACCACAGTGTGTGCGCTGAACCATGGAAATTTTTGTGTTCCTGGTTTTATTAAAAAAAGTTGCAGCTATTGTTGTGAATGTACACCTTCTTTCAGAAAAAAAATGTTAAAGCTTGGTTGTGTGAAAAATATAGCCTGTGTGTTTGTTAATGAGTGTCTTTAGAACAGAACAGGAAACCCTCTTCTGTTGTACTGCCTAATTTTCCAAGGTGGGGCTTCAGTCTAGCTGTTGCATGTCCTAGCCTAGGTGGCCAGCCTAAATTTTCTAGTCAGTTTACCTTATAGGTTCAATTCAACAAATTTTAGTTGCAAATAAATATATTGAAATAAAATTTATCTGTCATGCAACTATTAGCTTTTTTTTTGGTACATACTATTTTATTGATGGTACCATACATATAATTACATACTGTAATTTTTGTTTAATTTGTACGCTTCTATAGTATCAGGGATCCAAATGAGAGAGCTGCCATCAAGGCTCAGATTATGGAGTTTGGCCAAACCCCCAGGCAATTGTTTACCAAGCCCCATCCTACAAGGTTTCCGTCAGCCAAAACTGAACAGCTTGATACAAGTCCAGAAAATGGTCAATTAGAAGTAGATGATGACGAAAATGATGAGGAGGAATATTTAGATGATGATGTCATAGAAAGTGAGGTTGTTGACCAGTGTAAGTCATTTATATAGATCTTTCTTCAATTGAAGATCACTGTTGGAACCAGAGTTTTCCGGATCTCTAAATTTGGAAAATAATCATAAAGGTATTACCAATATGTGTACATCCAGGGCCACAAACAGTGGTCTTTAATTCTAAGTTTCCCAATTAGAGTGGTCCTTGGTTGAAAGATCAGTTGCTTCTAATTGTATTTCATTTCCACACAAAAAGGCTGAGTTGGTTAATGTGTCGGCATAGAGAGCAGAAAGTTGTCGGTTCGAATCCTGGTTGCGGCAGCTTTTTTTTCATGTTAACTTCAAATTTTGTATTGTGTATGTGTTAAATTTTCGAAATAATATTTACATTTTAACTTCAGTTTTAAATGATTTTTGCAGATGAGTGTGTAGAAGATGAATTACCACAGACGAAGGATTGGTCACAATTAGCAAACCTTTTACCATATCAACGTCACAAACTGCATCGGGAGTAAGTCAATTCTAATTCATTAGGTTGTTAATAAATTATAGGCCTATAATATACAGGGATCTTAGTCTATCCTATAAGTGCAGTAAAGTAAATTTTTGCCAAGCCACTAGGGCCTATAGAGTTGGAGCTTATCCTCAATTTCAAGTAGTGTGAAGCGGATGAGAGTGCATTACTCTGGTATGCCGCAAGTTAACTCCCAGCAATTTGCTGGTACCCATTGATGCAGCTGGATAGACTGAACCACTGCAGATAAAGTGCCTTGCTCAAGGACACAAGCTAATGCACAGTAAACTCCGACCTGATATGATATGTTCTGCTTAGTATCTACTAAAATAATAATTTTTTGGTATTGTGTTTTACATCTAATATCATAATACTGACTAAATTTGTTCATAAATCCTTCCTTTCTTTGCTTAGCACTGTAACATCACTGTGTTTGTCTGCTGATAATAAACATGTGTATTCTGTATCACAAGGTGAGTAACATAAATACACCCATTTAAACAAAAACGTTGATTGACTTTATAAAGCAATTAATATACTGCTTTATCTGTCCACTAGAGGAAAGTATTATACTTCAAAAAATATAATTCAAAAACTTCCTTCAAGCCTTGCAGGCCCTCAGTAATTATTTTCATGCATTAATTTAACCTCCATATAATAATTCCCACTATTGTATGTTAGACAGCTATAGTAATTGTGTATTATTATGATTTTCACAGCTGGAGTTTTTAAAGTATATTCATTTGAGGAGCAACAGCAGGTTCGTGGAATCAACCTGTCGTCGATGCCACTATCTTCCATCATCTTACTACCAAATGAGAAACTTGTGCTGATTGCCAGTTGGGATGATTCTGTGTAAGTACCCAACGACTATTTTCGCTCTCTGTAATCCTTTGATGATGTGACACTGTCTGCTGATTGTCGGTGGCAGCCATTTAAATTTGCGTCATCTATCAGGGGCAGATCCAGAGACGTCCAAAAGTGGGGCCGATTGAGATAATACTACTCTAGGGGATCCGGAGGGGGCGGGGGCATGCCCCTGCATAATTTTTGTGTTCTTGACACCCAAAAATAACCTCAGAGGCATTTTGGGCGATCAATTTTTTTCTTTTTCTTTCTTTCGTCCTTTTTTTTATTTTTTTACCTTCCAAAGGACCCTGCCCCCCTAAATCTGCCCATGTCTATAGAGTTGAGTCGGCCTACGACGGCGGCTTTATAAGAGAAGTTATATGTATGGTTACAAATTGGTTACGAATTAGCAGGATATGGTTATGAGTTCTTTTGAGCTTAGCTTTATAGATGTCTTTCTAATTTATTTTCTCCATGGTATGTCATAGCAACTGTGTATATGCCGAGCCACAAAGAACCTTTCATATTTTATAGTCTCTGGTTAAATTACATCGCTGTTCTTGTGTTTTATCTGGAGGGCTTAAATGGAAGTATAATGTTATATAGTGTATTGTCTTTTGAAAAGACATTTAAGCCATTGGTCTAATGTGCATTTATGTGAATTAGAAAGCTGGCTTCAGTTTAGCTGTTTTTACACTAGTATAGACAATTTATTTTCCAGGAATGTCACTCCTGATTTGTTTAATTCTATCTCTTGACCGCTCTCTTTTAGGTATTTATATTCAATGGAATATGGACGTGTCGTAAGCCAGTTAACACTACATGATGATGCTGTTTCAGCCATGTGCTGGCAAGATAATATGCTTTTTACAGGATCATGGGACTCTACAATCAAGGTACAGTTATAGTTATCATTATATTACTTTTATTAAGCAGTAATGTATATGCCTAAAAAGAAATCGAGTATGGGATGCCAATTAAATTTGGTATGGCACGCACTAAGTGCAATAAAGAGTGCATAACCAAAAGTAAGGGTCTGGAACACAGGCTAATGCCTGTACTGTAGGTCTCTAGGTAAGTTGCTTTAGGATTTATAGGTATATCTACCCTATGGGTTTGTAATACAGTAAGAGTAGAGTGCAACTGTACCTTGTGGTTAAGATGCTTGCCTTCTAATAGGAAGGTCCTGGAATCAGTTCCTCTAAAAACAACTCCACTTCAAAGCCTTGGAAGAGACATATTTCTGTCTATTTTGTATATTGACCGATAAAAGTTCTTGAATCTTGTTTATAAACAACTGGAGAGTCAGTCACTGTGGGAAGATAATGAAATTGTTAAAAAATGAGTATGAATATGGTAATATGTGCTGCAGCGTGTAAGTTGTTTGAGACCAGGGCTCGTCGCATTGCTTGTGTCCTTGGGCACGGCACTTTACTTACCTTTGCCTCTCTCCTCCCAGGAGTATAAATGGGCACCTGGTAGGATGGTATGGAATTAAACATATGGGTTGTGTGCGTAAAGCTGTAAAATGTGCCAATTTGCCAACTCAGTATCCAATGACCAGGGAATAATGATACCAGCACCTTGTGTATTTTCCGGATTGTAATAGGTGCTATATAAATTCCGATTTGGAAAAAAAAAAATATACTGGTAATTCACTAGGTTCATATAAACTGTTTTAAATTGTATTTTAAAGGTGTGGGCTTATGATCCGGAAGCTGATCCAAAGAAGCTTGCTGTTAAACCCATTATGGAACTTGATCATGAATCAGGGGTAAGCAAAATCTCATATTCATTATAAATTTATTCAACACACATCAAATTGATGGGCTGTGAAAATGCGAAGAGAAGTTGAACATAAAGAGGTGACACCAACTTCAAATGAGGGGTAGCTTATAAAATGAATGTTCTTTGATTTTATTTATTTCTTCTTTTAACAATGCTAATCGTTGTCATTAGTTACTATTAATTTTGGAAGCATTTTGGCGCAGTAAAAATGGTTTTGTTTCCCAATCTTGAGGTTGGGGTTTCAATTATTCATTGTGCCTTTAGCTTGGGTCCTTGAGCAAGGCACCATATCTACATTGCCTCAACCCAGCTGTATCAATGGGTAGTAGAAAATTTGCCGGGATTAACCTGCCATGGACCAGCGTCGAACCCAGAGGGAGCGTCATTCTTGTACGCTTCACGCTACTTTAAACTGAGGATAAGTTCCAGCAAATATGACTCCTGTGGCCCAGCAAGGATTTACTTTACTTACTTTACTACTAGTTTAATATATTATATATGTATATTAATCTTGTATTTTTCAGGTTAGCTGTATTCATGTAAACAGTAATAATTCACAAATCTTAAGTGGTACCAAAGATGGCATTGTCTACTTATGGGATGTTGAATGTCAGTCAGTTCTCCGCCAGACGCAGTCTCATGTTGGCGCAGTAACCTGTGTAAAATTTAGCATAGGTGTGTATCTCCATCATCATTGTCATCATCCTCTTCTCAATCTTTATCTTAGTTTCATTCTCCTTTGTTCTTCTGTCTGTGGCATATTTAGGGGTCTTAAAATGGGGGAAAATGCAAAGTGGGGACTCAATGATTAAGTGGGCACTAGGTCGCAAAATAAGGTGATTTTTAAATAATTGAGCTTTGATGGTGGTTGGGGGCGTGGCCCCCTAGATATGCCACTGGTTGGGCAACCGAGTGAAATGCCCCTACCACACAACATCAGGTACTTTATCCAAAAAAAATAATTAGCTTTTATTTTCTTCCGATAAAGATGGTCAGCGAATGGTTTCATGCGGTGAAGACTGCTACATGCGTGTTGTTGACATTAACACCGGAACTGAGATACTCGCCAAGGACTTAGGCCAGAATATCAGGTAATAATTAAGAACATTAATTATATATTATAGTTTTTTTCAAAGTATGATGATATCAAATTACACAATTTTTATTTCATGCTGTAACTAGCAGTTACTGTAACAAAACTGTTGTGTACTAATTGTGAGTGGATGAAGTTGAGTGGGAAGAGGAAGATGTTATGAGGTGATTTTTAACTACTGTTGTTGACTACTTTTTGCTCAGCATATTTTTAAGTACTGGGGGGTTGGGTTGGGGAGATAATGATTGCTAGATACAATAAAGGCAATTCAGGTATTCAATTCTGTTTCAAGAGAAAATGTGTATTAACCAGAATGCCAAGTTTGCCATTTGGGAACTTACCTCTGAAACAAGGGAATTGTATAATGTATGTAATAGAGATACCAAGAATTAAATCAATTGCATACCTACCAATGTGTTCTGTGAATTACTTTACTAATATAAGATACAACACCACTATTGATTTGTGTATCAAACACAGATAAATATCTCTAAATTTTGAAGTAAATATTAATTATTTCCTAAACTTTATATATTTTTCAGCTGTCTATGTTGGCCCCAAAATTACTTGATAGCCGGTGGGCAGGGCGAGTTACTTGTTTGGGACATGGCCAAGGCACAGTTGGTGACAAAGATCAAGGCGCATGGTAGTGAGTAAAACACCTACAGATAGTTCAACAAACATCAATTTTAATGATATGCTCAGTTTTTGTTTACTTATGTTTTTTGTGGTACATAAAATCTTTTAGAATTTTTGAGTTTTTTTCAAATATAGTACCGTAAATCCTCGAATAGAAGCCCAGTGGGCTTAATCTCGAAGAGAAGCCCATGCACTTCTTTTCGAGATATTACAGTTAATAGAATGTACATGAATTTCAAAGAAAGAGAATAAATTTTAAACTTAGTTTATACAGTAGTTTAGGTGATTTAATGCCGGTTAATACACTCTGTGATACACATTGATGTTACAGTGGCCCTATTTATTGTTTTATAGTAATAATTCCTAAATTTATTTTGAAAAGAAGCCCCCCCCCTCCCTTCCTCTTTACCTTGCAAGAGTACCCTCTAAAAGAAACCCATCCAAAGTTTGCCAAAAAAAAGCAGCCCAGTTTTTTTTTACAGTGGTTATAGTTACACCAGTCTTTAACAAAGTCTTTATTCTGATTGGATGGTATAAACCATTTTATCAAGTTTATTTTGAAACAGCGCCGCTGTTTTGCCACTCGCTGGGGGACTTCCGGCGGCCTAGTCTAGCATGAGCAGCTAGCTAGTGTCAAAACACATAACGCGAAGTGCATAGGCCTCTGTAAGTTCCCCCGTGCTAGTTGCCAGGTTATCAGAAATTTTCATTTTAAATTTCTCGAAAATGGTCTATTATCGCCCTTTTTTTTTTATTCCTAGGTATGATTGCTTCAATGTATATGGGTTCAGATTTACACCTGGTCACCGGTGGGGAGGACAGGAACGTCATATTATGGAAGAGGTCGTAAGGAAAAGCAGAACGTGGATGCTAATGGTTCTAACAATACTTCATAGATATATTACTGCCAAGACTTTGTTTCGCAATTGAATGTGCAGACAAGTTCCCGCTGTCCTGTTGTGTTTGCTTAGGGTTTGTTCACAATTATCAATTATTTTCACAAGTGTACAAATAGTACGCAATAGGAAGGGGGAGGGGGGTAGACAAATTTGTACACTTTTACATATGTATTTAAATTGTTATGACCAATTATATATACATGTTTTTGTAACCAAGTACAGTAATTTAGTTGACTTCACCCAAAAAGTAGAGAATGGTTTTGCAAAATCAAAATTTTTTATGTACGCTTTCAGAGGGGGGGGGGGGGAGAGGGTACTGAAAAAGAGTACTGTTTGTACACTTGCAAAAATGTTGATAATTGTCAAATACAAGTTACTATGCTGGCTGAAAAATACAATTATACAAACAACAGTGTCAAACACTTAAATTCCAGATAACAATTTTATGTTATAACATTATAAATACATTACAGTTTGGTGAACCATAAATACGTACTTATAACGTAATTTTACAACTAAATAACATTTTCTGACATGTCACTCCAAAATGTTCGCAAATAGTTTTAAAATACTGTATTCATCAAATGTTATGTTTTGTATTTGCTGGGATTATTCTATTTGTTACAGTATTTATTTATTCATTGTTGTTTTTTACTATCATTTTCATTAATTATTCTTGTCTCTGTCATTGTTTATGTTATCATATTATCATTTAATATAATTTTAATTCCAAAGTATTACTGATGCAAATAAAGATTTAATAATTCATTTTTAAGCAAATTAATATTCCAAATAAAACAAAATCATAAATGTTTTTGTAACTTTGTAGCCCAAAGATACACTGTTGAGAATAAAAATCAATATTTTAATTGTTTACTTTGTAAGTTATTGGTTTTTTTAATTAATTAATAATTTTATTTATTTCTTGTTTTGTTTATTTCTTGTTATAACTGGGTCAAAAACTGTTATACTTATGCACCCAGGATATGATACACAAATAATCCTTAAATACTTATTTGTTAATAATTCACAATAATAATAATGTTATTATTACAGTAAATCATAAATAAGCCTATAATTAAGATGTATAAATAAATTGTTTTAATTGTCAAGTATCATCTGATAATTAATTATCATTTCTATCCCTTCTTTATTTTTTGAATATTATTGTTTCTTAGAAAAAATAAATAAAGAAAAAAAAGCCAGATTTAAATTTTAATTGAAACATAAAATAAGAAAAATATTTCCTTGCCATTCAAAATGTGTTTAAAATAGACTATAAAATAGTCTGGCAAACAAATTACAGCTTTTTATGGCAAGAAGTTGTTGAGAGGTCAGTAAAAACTGAATTGTTACTCACTAGAAGTTGATGATTTATTGTGATCCATGTAAATGAGCAATAGTACTGTATTAACATTATATTCAGGGGCCACAGGTCACGGGAGTCTCCCAAGGGATGGCTTCATGTACTACCACATATTCCAACAAATTCATATTTGCATGTTTTTACTACTTTACTATCAATTGTCTCACAGAAGTCAGTGGCAATATCATCATGCTCAGCAGAATGAAATTAGATATGTTAAGAAAGTTTATTTACCCATATCTTCCGCAAATGGCTTCTTCCAGCTTGGGACCCCTGTATATTGTTTTGGGTTTTTTTTTTAGTTTATATCATATACAATATATTGTTAAAGAGGGATATAGTGATTAAAGCAATAACTGTTCACTATTGATTATTTATATAATGCTTATTTATTAGGGTATGGTGCCTTTATTAATATTGTCCATTGTTTAATTAAAAATTATACGTTATTATTATTTCTATTATTGTTAATTGTATCAAGAATGCAATTTCATATTTCATGATTGGCTAGGCTAGCAGGGTATAAATGCCAGAATCTTATTAGTTGTTTGGTAAATGAGAGATAGAAGACAAAGGAAATACAAGTCTCCTTTCAATTTAAAGACCACTTTTGGGACCAGGTTTCCATGGCCTTTAGCAGCTTTGGTCTCTAATTAGAATAATAAGGATAAGACATTGGTTAATTTGCGACTACTGAAAAGTAGTCTATAATTAGATGTCTTCATGAGAGGGGGGTGTCAGGAAGGTCGTACAATTCCCCCACCCCCCCCAAAAAATGTTCAAAGGCTCCACATTTTTTCTAGGGCCTTTTCACAATGACATAATGAAAAAGCATTGATGAGGTACCAGCAATGAGTCCCAAGAACTTGCCAATTGCAAGACGTAATATATCTCAATTCCAGCAATTCTGAAACCTGCCATCCGCTTCAAGCTGGTGGCGCTATAATCGATTTTCCGGTCTCCCACTGAAAAGGTCCGAAAAATTATGATCACGACCACCCAGAAAAAAAAAATCTTGAATACACCCCTGATCTTAAATTAGAGGGAGACATTTCAATGGATGTTTTTATCCACTTAAACAGTAAAACTCATTCATACATTTACTTAAAAGAGTAATTATAGATGCAATAACTACTGTAAGAGTTTAAAAATATAAAAATTAGTGTCTTGATTTGATGATACTGTAGAGATGTTATTCGATTTCAATGCGATTGTATGAAGTTCTGTTTGCACCATTAAGTTTGTTTGATATTATGTCATATCACACCCATACCAGACTAAAGTAATGCCTGAACAGGCATTATATCCACGCAAAAATTTGGCCTAGAAATCCGTCCGCACATTTCTGAAAATAACTGCTGATTTCCACACAGATTCTGCCGAAAATTAGGATTGACCTAATCTTATTATAAAACAATGTATTATGCAGTAATTACGATTCTGCGCATCTATTTTCCTAGCGATTTACCACGCAAATGTGAGCTTGTTTTTGAGATATTATTCACGGCAATTAAAAGCCTTTACAGTACGGCACCAATATGCAAGTCACATGTATTTCAAACATAAAACTTTATAGTGCAAACAGAGCTTATGGTCATCAAGATGAGTAATTAAAACTTAACAAGTATATTATATACACGCATTGTCTTTATTGTATGAATTTCAAGCTGCCTTTGTGCATGTACTTTCTTCTTATCATTGATAGGTCAAGTTTCATTGTGCTAGGCCTATAGAATAAATTTTTAACTTGTCATCCTTGTGTTTTGATAATTTTTTTTTTTTCGGAAAGTGACCTAGCATCAAGGGCAGGGCTAGCAGGGAACCAAGGGGAAAAAGAACCCCGTCAGAGACTTCTGGACCCTCTGCTTGGACTTCCCTATCCGGGAAAATTAAATTTTGAGCACCGAAAGTACAATTCAAGCATGCCTTACTAAGCTGTCAAATTTTAGGGATTAAAATCCGATTAATGCGAGCAGTGCTACCATATGTGTGAGGTGCTGTATACTATTGCAATCGTATGGGTTGCAGTGGTGTGCCAGCTCTTACCCTACAGGGGAATGGTACCGCCAACATCCTTTTTAAATGAAGAATCCCATAATTAACACGAAATTTTATTATCTTTTAATAAAAATAAAAATTAAATTTTTTTCCCCACCAGGGTCTAGGCTTCCCGATGGGAGCTTTGACCCCTCGTCAGGGAATTCCTGGCGCCGCCCCTGTCTAGGATTTACAGTCTCTAGGGTTTCATATGTTTTTTTCTCTAACTTAATCATACTTAAACTATAACAGAAAAAAGTTACAATTTCTCCAATAAATTATTTTAAAATTCCCTCAAAATATTGTTATGGCCAACAATGCAATGTGTTTAACACCAAAATATCCGTTTTGTTGACCTCGCAGGTGACCCTTTTTTGTGCAAGATGGATAGGCCTAGGCCAAGAACGAAATCGTACAGTACTATTTTCGCTTTGGGAAATGTACTGTTGCAGTGATGTTTCATTGTACTTCTATATAAGGATTGAGAAGAAGACGAAATGAATGCTAGCTTTTATGGTACAATATAAATAATATGCAGGGACATCGAGCGGAGCCTTTTTAGGATTTTTAAAATATTTAATAAGCATGAAAAATTTACTAGCTTTTTATTATGCAGTCTTTGGTTTAGGCCTACTAGTATTAACTACTAGTTGCCTTCGAAACTCAAAAAACTACCCCAAAGAATTCTGTGCATGGCCGCTTTCCTATAATTAATCGGATAATAAGTGCTGCAGAAATATGGCCTTAGTTACTGCCTTTAGAGACCCAGTATTATTGAAGACCATAACCATTACAGTGCCACATTATGTCTGAAGTGGTTTTTTTCCCATTCTCTTTCAAAAACCAGCATATATTAATGTACAATAAATTTCAATATTTTTTTTAATTATTCAAGATAAAAAAAAATTAATGAGTATAAAGTACAATATGGAATAAGAAGGTCAAGTGGCCATATTTTTCCCCTGAAATCAACCAATTTGCATCGATTGAGATAGGCCACTGACGTGTTGGCGAACAGCTTGATTCAAAATGCCAAACATATCTCGACTTCCCTTACATGCCAAGTCCATTACACTACTCAAGTGATCCACGTGCAATCTTGAGGTCATCTTAAGATGAATAATTTTTTCAGATCGTGGAAAGAGCGCCACCACCATCTCCGGACCCCCTTGCGATTCCTCGATATAACTGACGTCCAGGAGAGGGGTATCGTTGACAAAACTCGCTGAACAGGAACAGACGTAATCTTTCATTGGGATTCCTGCGTCGATCAACGCTAACGTTGCAGCGTTGATACAAACGCTCAAGTTTCCCCCGTCTGACTGAAGAACCTGAAAATATTGACAAGTAGTATTGAGAATAGGATGGGGCGCTAATGCACTTTAGTACTCCACCCTAACCCTAACCACAACTCCAGTGTCGCTATGTTATTGTTAAAGTTAAGGTTAGGGTGGAGTACTAAAGTGCATTAGCGCCCAGGATGGCTTTATGTGTAACATGGTATAACAATGATAGGTGATTAAAAGATATATTGCATCGCAATAGATGTCTCCCTCCATAAAGACCACTTTTGGGGGCCGGTGTTTTAATGGTCTTTAAAAATATTCATCATAAATATAATAGACAGTTGTTCATCTAGGGCAAAGAAATGTAGTCTTTAATTGGAGGTTCTTATTTTGAAGGGGTCTTTAATCTTTAGAGACCATTTTTTAATTTACCTGTGCTAAAATACATTTACTGTCTGTAGGCCAATGTATTAAAAACTAGGGGTGGGGTAACATTTCAATTGCTAATTTGTTTGGATGAATGCAGTATAATTATATCTAAAATACATAAAAACAATAACAATTTATATGAATTTAGCCCACTGTCAGATAATTATGCAATTACATTACTATGTAACTTTAAGAGAGTGTTGCCAATGATGTTGCATCTATTAGATTTATTTAGTCATTTAGGGTGCATTTATTTGAAGAAAAAAATAAACGCATGTCTTGTTTATTCGAGGGAGGCTTTTATTCCAAATGAGGCTCTAGATGGGGGCATGTATTCGAGGGGACGTTTATTCAAAGCAGGACATTTATTCGAATAAATATGGTAAATAAAAAAAATAAAAAAACCCACCTGCCAGAAGATATCAATTTGAGAATGTGGATAAAGCTCTGTACAAATAGCAGCCTCAAACGCTCTTCTGAGGTTCAACGAAATTTCTTGAGATTGTTTGTCTCCTTTTGGTCTTCGCTTCCTTTCTCCGGTGCTGAACGTAGCCATGCTGTACTGGCAATTTAGAACTACCTTGTCATGCTGTGATTTTGATTTCCCACCTCGTGCCTGTTGTATTGTATTAATACATCAATTATTAAATACAATTATAATAGTATTGAAAACAATTCATAATTAACTAGAGCAGTCACTCCATAGAGTGCATACCTCCGCCCTGTGCCTGAATACTACCAACAATGTGCAGGCTATGTATGGGTGAAACTGCAGCATACCCTCAATGAAGTATTATGGAATCGCCTGTTATATTCAGGCACATTATTTTCTTCAGTGCTACAGAATACCTAGAGCTATTCCATTTTCTTTTATGCTTGAAATTAAAAGTTCTGTGACCTTGACCTTAGACCTTTTCTTCCGAAAATTAAATGGTGTCTTTCTTTGATTATTATGTACCATTCCACAAAATTTTATGATGATACATTCATTAGTTTTTGCGCAATCTTGCTAACAGACAGCGGTGAATACAAACCCCTTGGTGTACCGTAATTATTTGCAGAAGTACGTATACAGTATAACATTATTTCACAACTTCATAACATTTGAACGTTACTGCAATGTTGTGTGAACTTTATTTTGTGACATACCAAACCCCCGGGGGGTTCACTAGTATAGCAACCTTACGGGGGTGTGCAGCACACTTGCACTACCTATTTTACTGAAAATAGTTACGGACTACCATTTATCAAAATCCTGTGTCGGTTGAACTACTATTACGGCCATGCATCCTACCAAATTTAACTTGTACTGGTTCCCGATGGCAAATAAGACTGCGGTTCTGTCTGTTCACGGTATGTATTAATTGTAAGTCCTCAAAAATACCCCCGTAAATGCAGCACCTACCCATATAGAAATATTTAAGAATGAATTCCCCGGGACCAAACGTTATAAGAACGTTTTGTGTTTCCTGGATGTACAACTAACCTGATTGGATAATTATCAGCCTTGCCCACATGAACGGGATTACACCAATCTGGTATTGCTGATAGGCTTTGGTTGGCTAACCAGGAAGCAGGAAAATATTATCATTCAGCTAAAAAATGTCATTTCTATTGCATAATTCCATAAAAATAAACAAAAAATAAACAAAAAAAATGTGTACAGTAATATTTATATTTTAAATATAATTAAACATTATTACTATATACAAGAGTTTTGAATACTGATTAAACTATTTTTTCAATTGAACTCTTGAAATATATGAAACTTTAGGGGAGCAGTTATTCTAATCTTTGCCCTTTCGGGCGCCCTTTCGTTCAGGCTCATCGTTGTGGTTCGATGTTCATGAATTTTGTTGTTAGCATTCTTGGGCAATTGGCTTTCACTGAAAGTTTCAAACTTTCAAACAGTGAAAGTTTCAAGAACTTTCAAACAGTGAAAGTTTCAAGAACTTTCAACTGAAACTGAAAGTTTCAGTTACAGTAAAGAATTAATTCATTTACTGATAATTTAAAATGTTAATCATTAAAAAAAAACCAATAACATTTATTTGTCCAAATTACATAAAACATACAATTGGAAATTTACTACTACTAGGCATACCTAGGCCTTCTCTAGTAGCCTACCTAAAAACTAGTACTACTACTACTAGGCTCTAGCTTGTATAGGCCTAGGCCTAAGTAGGGTGGCATACCAACCTCGTGAGGTCCGTATACAACAGCCAAAACTTTGGTGTTTCCTTGTTCAATGTACGAAGACCCATCAGCGTCACACAGTACCCCTAATCGACACTGTACTTTCCTTAATTCATGTGGTTTTCGTCCATCAACCCTGAAGCCCTGATCGGATAGAAGTTCCATTTTCCTGAGACCAAAATAAGCACATGGCAATTTGTTCAAAGGTTAAAATTCAGTCTGTAATCTATAAGACCACGAACGAACGCGTTTACTTCGTTGTTTGGACTTCAGTTCACTCTTTGCTAACGCGTCATCTGTCCCGTGTCGAAGAAAGAAAGTCACTGAATGACAATTCTTCAAGTAATTATATTTCAAAATATTCTGTTTGTTACATTTTTATACCTCTATGGTTATAGACATCGATATTTTGATAATATATGATGTTTAAAAATAGATTGCGGATTTTTTGGGCAGACGTTTACGAACCGTAGAACTTAGGTTTCATTATAGAGGGCGCTCGCAAATACGTGATTTTGCCTAATTTGACACTAGCGAACTTTTTATTTCTGAAATTGTGAAAGGTAGCATTAAATTTAGGCATATATGTGAATAATACGGACTATTTTGAAAATGGATCACACTGCAAGCAGTGTTCCAGCCTTTATAAACAAATTATGGATGTTAGTTGAAGATGAAAGCACAAATGACTTCATCGAGTGGAGTGAGGTGAGTGCCTAATCGAGCCCTCATCCGCGTGAGGCTAGGCTAGGCCTAGTAGGGGGCCTAACCTAGGCTAGGCTATATAAAGGCCTAGCCTAGGCCCTAGGCTATGCCACATAAAGTATAGGCCTAGGCCTACCTATCAACCTTGAGAAATTTCAAAGAGTAAGATAGGGTGACACATGATGAATGCCGAAGGCACGAACAGCAGCTGGGGCCAGGGGGCCGCCAAGCTTTCCAACAACAAGGGCTCCCACCCAGTCGGGGTCCTCAAGGGGCTGAATGCCCCAGGACGGTTTATGGACAAAACGGCAATAAGTAAAAACTGCAATATGATTCTGCACACCTATTTTCCTAGTGATTTGCCGTGCAAATTTGAGCTGATTTTTTAAATATCCTCCGTGCAATTTATTTATAAAACTTTACAGTATGGGTCTTATTTTAGGCCTAGGCCTAGCTAGGCTGAGAGTGATTCCATATGAAATTTACAAGCTAATTTGTATTGATGAAAATAATTTCACTTATCAATACTCTGAGTGTTGCTAACTATTTAATTTAGGTTCATGGTCTAGCTAAGCCTTTACAACAATACAATGCAAAAAAAAAATCATCAGGTCCAAAAAACCCCACAAAAACACAAACCTTAAAAATATTAAAAACTATCAAAAGCCAAATAAAAACACAAATAGCACTTTTCGCATAAAAGGAATACTTGGTTAAAACAGGGTCTGCACTGCGCCAGGTCCAGCAGTCTGTCTACAGCCTTTTTAAATAGGCCTGATGAATTTACATTTATTTTTCTAATTTAGGGAGGAACCAGTTTCCGTGTTAATGATCAAACTGGTTTTGCAAAGTCTGTGTTACCGCGATATTTTAAGCACAACAACATGGCAAGTTTTGTGAGGCAACTCAATATGTGTAAGTAAATTTTTTTTTTTTTTTGAATTTGTTTCAAAGACAAGCCAAACCAGTCACTCGTCGCAAAAATCGATTTTGAGTTATTAACAAAGTGTTAGAGAGTAAAATAATAGCTATAAAATGGTAAAAAAAATCATTCAAATCGGACATTTCCTTATGAAGTTACAAGCGTTTAAACATACAGCTGTTTAAAGAACAAATATGAGAAATCAGCCTTCAAAGTTTATGATTTCAGGCATTTCTCATGCAGAAACTATCATCAAATCCTTAAAAAGTGTTGTTTTAACATTGAAATTGGGGAAAATAACAGCATAGAATGATGTATAGGTATGTAAAGATTAGTTTAGTGCAATAAAATAGATTTTTTTAAATTTGACATTCCAGCATGTTTTGGCCATTTTCTCTGTAACACGATTTGCGACGAGTGACTGGTTTGGCTTGTCTTTGCCACATTTGTTGTTTTTTAATGTATGTTGTTATTTAATTAATGACTATTATCAATTGCTTTTCAGCCAACTTTGTTAGCTAGATATTCTTTTTAAAGAGAAATTAATTGTGTATTACACTGATCAGAAAGTTGATTTACCAACTTTATATTTACAATAAATTATGATTATTAAAGTTATTTATAGTGGTAGTTTATTTTTTTTTTTATTTGACCATGTGGTTTTACTGTATATTGCACAATAATCAAATATATAGGACAACATTGATAACATAAGGTAAAGCTGGAATACCGTAACCCATACTTCGCAGTGTCATTTATGCTAAATTATAAATGTATAGACATTGTTTGTAGTCGGCTACCTTCTAGCAGTCGTAAAGCCCATATGGATGTGATATGACATTATTCCCATTAAGCAATTCAGACAAATTTGTCACATAAAACTTAAGTAGGCAGAGAAACGAGTATTAAGGCCTACTCAGACAGCATCGTGTGTGAATTAAACGTAGATGCGGTGGTTTGCGTCGGGGGCAGTCGCGTCATAGAATTGAATGTTAAACATGTTTAATATATCACACTATGGCTTAAGACTGTCCCCCGACGAAAAATCACATCGGGCTGCGTCGTACGACGCTGTCTGAGTTGGCCTTTATAAGTATTAACACAGCACAGATAGTGTATTTTGAAATACTGTAAAACCTTGAATTGAAGCCCTGGGCTTCTTTTTTTTTTTTGCGAACTTTGGATGGGCTTCTTTTCAAGGCAACTTTTGCAAAGTAAAGAGGTGGGAGGGGGGGTACTTTCTTTCAAAATGAATGCTGTAAATTTTGGGAATTACTACTACAAAACAATAATAGGGCCACTGTAACATCAATCTGTATAATGGATTGTATTAACCGGCATTAAACCAAGCGTGATTTAAATTTATTTTGTTTAAAATTCATGTACCGTGATATACTGCAAGTCTGTACTATCTCGAAAAAAAGCCCTTGCTACAGTGTTTTGAGATCTGGAGTTAGGCTTCTTTTCGAGGCTACTTTTGCAAACAAAAGAGGAGGTGGGTGGGGGGGTTTAATCATCACTAAAATACTTTCTGAACGAAAAGGTGTACTACCGGCTTAAAAAAAAAAACACCTTTAAAACGCCTTTAAAATAACAAAATTATATGAATAATTTCAGATGGATTTCGAAAGGTCAGTTATCCAGAACAAGGTGGAATGAGATATGAAGGGGATTCAATTGAATTTCATCATCCTGACTTCCAACAAGGAAAGTTGGAACTTCTTGATCAGATTAAAAGGAAGGTAAGTCATCCTCCAGTGATATTGATACATTTCATGGATTGGATTGGATTTATTCGGTGTAAACACCAAGGATAGCCCACAAAAGTCTAGAAGAAGACTTATTATTTCCAGTGGGGTCCTTCTGGTGGTGATTGGACAGTACACCAGGAGACAATCCCCTACTCTTTTCCGAAGAGTGTACTGTGTTCTTTAACGTACACATGGGCCATAAATGCACACGAGACCAACGGCTTAAACGTCTCGAAAGACGGTGCGCTATGTAACTTGTATTTCAGCTTTCTAGCTGAAACACAAGGAGAGGCAGCGATGGGAATTGAACCAGGAACCTAGAGATCTCCACGGTTCAACGCACACACAGTGGCTACCACCAGATTAGCCGACTGAGCTAAGCTGCTCTCTTGTTTATCTGTGTCTACTGTCCTCTATACGGCAGAGACACTATGGCAATGTTTGTATTAAAATGAGTAACTTAGACTATTTGTTCAGTGTTAGCCTTTGGGAATCTTTGGAAGAAACAGTGTAGTAGTAGTAGTAACTGTTCAGTATTAAATTGGGAGTTTATTAATTTTCTTACCAGTGGACTTGAGGCTAAAGTAAACTCTTTCAAATTGACCCTGTCATTTGCTATGTGTGATACTTTGGCTGTCAAGTTTGATTTGACAAAAACATCTGTCATGCCTAAATATGGTCATGATGACATCGCATCATGACCATATGAGGCATGTCGTGGCGAAATGGTTAAGTTGTCGCACAGGCCAGTATTGAGTAAATGAGCTAAAAATATGGGAGCTCAAAAAATTGCCTAAAAATCCGAATTTTTTTTTCACTATAGATCAACAGTTTAATGTCTTTATTAATCATGTCCCAAAGTATTAGTTCTAGAAGTGGTCAACAAATTGTTTATTTAATGTTATTTAGATAGTTAATTCTATTAAACAATGTATGCACAAATAACTTTGGAAGGCAATTACTCAAAATCATGTTTATCTTGACTCTAAGAGTGCTGTATTTTCACTTTTCAATAACTTAGGCTTGAAAAGTCCAATTTCAATGAATGACCCCTCATTTTAAAGATAGCATACTCAGGTATATGAAAATACCAATAACTTGAATTTCAAATTTTGCTACAACTTAGCCATTTTGCCACAACATGCCTCATATATAGGCACATCATGACTAAATATGGGCATGCAGCAGTTGTTTGTCAAAGAAAATTTGATAGTGTGGACAAAGACTTCCATTCATTGTATTTATATTCCTTTAGTTTTCTCGGTTTCTGTGCTTTGTTTCAAGGGATATTAGCACAAAATGGCATTTGCAGCATTATAGCAATAAAAGAAATTGAACTGAAATTTAAATTTAAATACATTGTACTTACTTCAGCATTGAGTTTAATTGCTGCGAAGCAGCCAATTCATATTCTTGACAGCAATTTGACCTCTGAAAGGTCATTGTTTGTCAAAAAACGAGTGCTTAAGACGACTGAAAAGCGGAGTTTCCTTCTTTCATTCTGCCGGGTAAAATCAATTACTTTAGGCGACGTGTGTAGACTAACCTACTTGTACCAACGACCGCATGTCGCGCTAGCCCTGTCTCTTATACACATCTTAACATCAATCTGTATAATGGATTGTATTAACCGGCATTAAACCAAGCGTGATTTAAATTTATTTTGTTTAAAATTCATGTACCGTGATATACTGCAAGTCTGTACTATCTCGAAAAAAGCCCATGCTACAGTGTTTTGAGATCTGGAGTTAGGCTTCTTTTCGAGGCTACTTTTGCAAACAAAAGAGGAGGTGGGGGGGGGGGGGACTTGACTCGCATAAATAATTTTGTTCGAACATTTATATGCAGTTGTACTTCGCAGCACTTCACTTGCAATTTGCAATTTCTAGTATATATTAATAAATATTGTGTTGCCTAGAATAGAAAACTTGTCTTTTCAGTCGGTCACCAATTTTAATTTTTTGTTTATTTGTATATTATTACTCATTCAATCATTAGTAATCACAAACACACACACATACACACACAGTCACTACATGATCTATATTTTTCTAGGGGGTCATTCTAATCACCAACCCCATGTATTTTGGTTGGTAGAGTTCAATGTCATCATATATCCGGTAATTCTGACTTGGGCCATTTGGATGGTTTTTTTTTGTTTTTTTTCATATTCTTCTTCCCTTGCAGTGTTCTCCCAAATGAAACATTTTTACTGGTAAATTTGTCCATAAAAATTCAGCTAAGCACACAGTGTGAGGTGTTATCCCTTTTGAGTGGGGTTTAATGACTTGAAAAAACAACCACACATATAGTCATAGAATAGGTATAGACTGGAATGATGTTCATTTTAAATTGATAGAAGGCCAGCCTAGACTACCTAGGCCTAGTCATTGGTTTTATTATTTTACAATCTCAAAATTTTTCTGGTTGGCCAGTTATTCTGGTAAAAATCGACGGCTAAAACGCCTTCTGGAGAACACTTCCTTAAATAGAATGTGATAATAATTTGTTTTTCCCTTTTATTCAAGGGCACATCAAAAGAAGAGATAAAAATCAAAACAAATGATGTGAATAAAGTACTGAGCGAAGTCCAGGAACTGAAAGGAAAACAAGAAGATATGGACTCGCGTTTAATGTCCATAAAAAGGTATGGAAGTTGTAGGACTCAATTCATATAATCTGTTCAAAGTTCTATCATATACAGTGAGGTCGGTGGGGGGAGCATGTCCCCCTCCCCAAAAGCTTGCGACAACTAGTCATCCTCTACCCCACTAGTAACATTCAAAGCAAATAAATCGCACTCAAGTACCTGTAGGTTAAAATCACCTTATTTTGCGGGCTAGTGCCCCTCACGTCAGTTCCTAACTTTAAATGCATGTAAATGAAAACTTAGTGTACTGTAAGGCATCATAATATGAGTTGTGAAAAGAATTCCTGGTTTCACACGATTTGGATGTTGGACCATTTGATTGGAACTTAACCACCAGGTTACAACTCTACTCCATTTAGATAAAATATATTTATTCAATTGATAAGAGAGCAATACTTAGAAATGATATATGACTGTGAATTGACTGGGACTTTAAAATGTAGAGTAGAGATAATAGGTAGATAGAGATTAGTAGAATTACAATGAATAGTACAATGAAACAAACACCAAGGTACAGTCTGTAGTGTTTATTAAGTAGAGTATAGAAAATTTTGATTTCATATTTGCAGGGAAAATGAGGGCTTGTGGCAGGAAGTGATAACTCTGCGACAGAAGCACCGAAAGCAGCAGCAGGTTGTGCACAGACTGATACAGTTTCTGATGTCGATTATTCCTCAAAGGCCGGTGAAAAGAAAGAGGTATACTTGGCATTATTATTATATTGTAATGCCATAAGTTTAAAGGCCATATCTTGAAACACACTGGCGAAACTGCAGTAATAATAATAATAATAATAATAACCTTATTTGAAAACTACAGTTTTGAATCAGTGGCACACGTCATGTGGTGCGTTCACAATAAAACTATGAACCACAAGGCTTAAAAACGACACACATATACAAAAGACAAAGCTTAAAAGATATTTCAATAAAATGTATAGTGAAATTTAAAATCAATTAGTCTTTCCCAAGCATTTGAAACCATTCCAAATTATTTAAAATACCAGTAAAACAGGAATGGGTAACAGTGCAAAGGGAATAAAATTAAAAGTTGAATTTAAAATTTTCAAGAAACTGTATATATTAGAATTGGTTAATGAAAGTGCTTAGATTAAAATCATACAATGCTGAGGTACGAACGCTATAAATGTGGATATTTTAGAGAGACTCATAAGCAGGTTTCCAGTCTAAAGGTCAAGGTAAGGCAAGGTACAATAACTTGAACTTGGACCTATGAATTTGTGACACCAGCACAAATGTAGCATGTGTATTTGTCACAAGATCCGTAAATTCAAAAATGGTATATTAAAACATGTTATATCGTCATTGCAGACTTATAAAATCCGCATACGCTATAAAACTAAAAGAAAATGCATACTTTTGGAGTCCGTACTGAGCCCAAAACATCCGCAATGAAAATATAACGTGTTTTAAGTAAAACAGTTCTAAAATTATTTGAAATATGTTAGCTCTTCTTTTAATATTAATAAGTAAAATACAGATGTTTACCTTGGACTCTTTCTTTTATGATAGAGTTTTTCAATGTTTGTTTTTTATCCAGGCCTTTGATGATACAGAATTCTGCAATAAACCCTAAAATTAGAAAACAGATACCATCTTTTGAGGTAAGTAACACCTTCATAAGTACTGTGACTCAGGTGGTGGTTGATGCTGCTCAGGTGGTGGTTGATGCTGCTCAGGTGGTGGTTGATGCTGCTGTATGTATTTTTAAACATTTATTTTTCATATCTTTCTTTTTTCGTAAAGGCATTCGCTGCTAGCTTTGGCGATTTTTTTCTCTCTATTTTGGCTATTATTTTTTTTTTCGTATATAATTTATATAGCTTTGTATTCGTTGTTTGACCGAACTATTAAAACATAGGATAAAATAAATTAAAATACATTTTCCTGGCAACCCCAAGTATCACACAGAAATAATGTTTCGAAACAGAGTGTACACATACTGTACAACAATTCAAACACAACAGTAAAACAATTAATTTTTTTATTTGAAATTCATTTAATTAATACCATTTTTATACGGACATTATAATTACAAGTGAAATGGCGTTGTTTTTATCTATGTTTCATTTATTTGAACATTTTAAATGTTTTGAACATCAAGAAATCTTCAAAGATATGTTGTTGATCTTTGATGTTTGTGTTCTTCCCACAGCCTGCATCGTCCTCAAATTCACCTGCTTTTCAATCAACTGTACCAGTGTCAAATCAAAACTTAATGCTGTCGGAGGTCCTAAGCCCGCTGGATGAGACCGCTGATCTAGGCACCACCGAGGCTCTTCCATTGGTAGACATTGACTTTCTCCAACCGCTCCCCTCCGTTGAGGGGCCAGCAGCCACGTTGACAGAGGTTACAGAGCCTATTGTACAATCACCGGCTGAAATCCCAGCTTTGGATAGCTTGATTACTGAGGACACTTTCAATTCCGATGTTCCTCCTGAAATAGAACTTCCTGTGCCGTTGACCTCTCCAGTGGAGACCAATACTAGCAATGGAGATAAAGATAAAACGTCAGATCCTGGTTTTACCCTTGCACTTCAGCGTCCACTTTCTGTTGATGAGCACAAGTAAGCATCTTCTAAATACTTAATTGAATTTCTTATGATTACTGTATTTCCACACTTCCCAAACTATGGGTCACGACCCAAAAGTGGATCGCCAAACTTTTGTGTGCTTTATCAGATCTGACTACCTGAAAACAGTATATTAGGTGAATCTTTATTAGACCCATGGTGGGTCTGAGGTGGGTACACCCTCTATCTGTGGAAGTCCCTCTCTGGGTCTCCCTTTATTACAAATTCCTGGACCCGTCACAGATAAAAAGTAAGCAAAGATCAACCCAAGACCCTCCATAAATTATATGGTGATTAAATAATATTTAATGTTTGTTTTATTTTAAAGACAAGAGTTATCGGACCATGTGGAGAATGTTCAGACAAACATAGACTTCATTCATGAATTATTAACAAAAGGGGAGTATAGCTTGGATCCTGAAACACTTCTACCGGTAAGCCCATCCAAAGTAGTTATTATAAATTGAATATTCATGAGGTAATATTTGAATATACATAAGGTCATTGAGTTAAAGCTCATTGAACTTTCTGTACTGAATTGTGAACTCACTAATATTATTTTTGTTGTCAACCTATTGAGAATTTACCTTAAGTATTGTACATTCTGTTTTTAATTGTACCTTATGAGATTACTTTTTTAATGAGCAACTAGCTTCAGTTAAAATAACTATGTTGTTGTTTTTATTTATTTTATTAACTTTGTTTAAATGAGGAAAAAGTGTATTTAAACAGTAGCTTAGTCTGTAGGAGATAGTCGGCGATATCGACATCTTGGGTAGTGTTGCTAAGTAAGGAAGGAGTGTCACATGTGTATGTATATATTATGTAAATCTATATCAGTTAGGATAAGGCTGCAAAGGTATGTTACCTGCAGTGGTGTTGCCAGCAGGTAGTCAGATGGTGGGGTAAAATTTTCTGTCAGCAATTCAGTCTGCAAGCATAGACTTCTGGTATATTGATGTGTTGTCTGTAGCAGAAAGAGGTAGTTACCAGTTGGATATTCAGTTTGTTTGGTTCTGGTGTTTATTTACCCTTACTGCATAACTGTAGGATATCTTGTCAGTTGTTCTGCATCTTTCCATCAGTATTGTTATTAATACTATATTATTTTTTCCAGGTGTTTTACCCAGACCCAGCAAATATCACCTTTGATAAGGTAAGGCGTTCCTTGTGAAATCAACCAATTTTTTTCAGGAAAATTAGCACGGGTCACTGTTCAGAATTCAATAAATTAATTTCTGACAATCATCTATGTATATTATGAACTCATGGAAATTAAAAAATTTTTACTGCTAGTCGTTTCAAAGAATTATGGCTCGTCAAATCTCAGACAGCAGCACATACATGTTCCACCAGGTGACAATATGGTTAAGTAAGTAAACATATGGTAGGACAACAATCGCACACAATTTACATTACTTTATAATTTTATAATTAAAGAATAAATTATTAACATTTTTCAGGATTTTCTGAGCAAACTAGGGATGCCCGAAGAGGAAGAACAACCTACATTCTCAACTGGTAATACAAATTGATTGTGTATAAACATCTCTACTACAACAGCATTCTGCCAATAACAGAAACAATATCAGCAGCATCACCTACGCTATCACTAAAACTTTTTCTCATGTCCACCAAACTGAAAGTAGATGTTTTGTTTCAGCCAATGTTGAACATAATCTTTGGCAGTGTCATTAGACGCAGCCAAGTCAATCTCATCACATGTCTGTTGTAGTAGAGGACATCTCTGAGAATGTGTTTCATAGCCTGTGGTTCGGAACCACAGATACAGTTGATGTTATCGACTCTGCAACAACTGGTACCAGATCTTAGGCCGTTAAGGTGTTTCCATTCAGACCAGTTTAAATCAGCATCAGGTGGGAGATCTTCCTTAATTTGGATTGACTTTGCTGTTGATGATGGAAGATTGGCCAGTCTTTGTTTCTATAGTTCAATTACGTTGTCGGCATCTCAACTGCATTCAACTTTATTGAGGAAGCTTCTTGATTTTAGGCTAGGCTCTAGGTATTCCATACCATCCAATTAGCCATCGCGCCACCACGGCCCAAGCACGTGCCATAGCCATAGCAACTGGCTGTGCTGCCACCAAGGGCTTGGTCAGGGCTCAGGGAATTCAAAACGGGATAGCCAAAGCTCATTATTTTTTTAACGAGATAGCGAAAGCTGAATCACAAACAACATCTGCTAGTAACATCATTATCAGCATCAAAAACAACAAAACTTTATCTGTATCACCAACAACATCTCTGCCAACAACATCATTATCAGCATCATCAACAACAACTGCCAATAACAACATTATCAGAATCACAACTGATATCTTAAGCAAATGTGAAATTTGTCATGAAACAGGAAAAAATCTAATAAACTGTAGTCTGTTTCAACAATTGTAATAGCATTGCATGGCAATTATTGTTTCAGTTGGAAGCAATATAAACACTCAGTGCTCATTTGTTGTTAGTTTACATGGAAAATAATATACATATTTCCAAGTTAATTTGATTTGCTACACCTTGTACTTTATCTTAAATATAATGCTTTACTATTGATTTGTTATTTCAGGAAATGAATTGGTGCAGTACCAACCCTCCTCCATCAATTATTTTAACACAGATCAAGACTCGCTTTTGTCGTCACTTATGAATTCTGGAGACGCGAGCGCCAGTGATGACGGTTCAACCAAGGACAATGAATTAGCGTTCGCGTAGGCTGACGCAAGGGCTATAGTATCCTTAAATTATTTAAACTGCTATTAAAGATTATGCTTTGAGATGGATGGGGGAATTCACTAAGTATCTCGCAATAAGATGGTTGGGGAATTCCCCAGTATCTCTCAGTCAGTATGTTACAAAATATAAGATGGGTGGGTGAATTCCCCAGTATCTCACAATCAGTATGTTACAGAATGTGAGATGGATGGGTGAATTCCCCAGTATCTCACAATCAGTATGTTACAAAATATGAGATGAAAGGGGAATTCCTCAGTATCTCGCAATCAATATGTCACATAATATGAGATGAAAGGGGAATCCCCAGTATCTCACAATCAATATGTCACATAATATGAGATTAAAGGGGAATCCCCAGTATCTCGCAATCAATATGTCACATAATATGAGATGAAAGGGGAATTCCCCAGTATCTCGCAATCAATATGTCACATAATATGAGATGAAAGGGGAATTCCCCAGTATCTCGCAATCAATATTTGTCACAGAATAAATGATCAATGCGTTATTTATTGTAAATTTGTGTATTTTGAAGTTTAACAACTATAACCCTCGTGAATGGTTGAAATTTAAGGAAATAGCCGCATTATTAATGTGTTGAGGGTTTAATTGAGTGTCCAGCTGATCAAATGCTTACAAGTATAAACGACAATAAACCAAAACGACAATAAAGAGAAGCAATGCTCAGTCAGACACATCTAGATGTGTATAAGAGACAGGGGTAAAATTTTCTGTCAGCAATTCAGTCTGCAAGCATAGACTTCTGGTATATTGATGTGTTGTCTGTAGCAGAAAGAGGTAGTTACCAGTTGGATATTCAGTTGGTTTGGTTCTGGTGTTGATTTACCCTTACTTACTGCATAACTGGAGGATATCTTGTCAGTTGTTCTGCATCTTTCCATCAGTATTGTTATTAATACTATATTATTTTTTCCAGGTGTTTTACCCAGACCCAGCAAATATCACCTTTGATAAGGTAAGGCATTCCTTGTGAAATCAACCAATTTTTTTCAGGAAAATTAGCACGGGTATTGAAAGTGGTTTTGAGTCAAATTTGTAAAGGTGGTTCTCAGAATTGATAGGAAACCCAATTAGAAATGGATATGTTTAGAGATTTTCTCTAAAGTGTCTTTTCAGAAATCTGAATCTTTAACTGGATTTACTCAACATATAATAACTTGATTCAAAGACCTAAATTATCACCTGTCTTCTATCTAAATACACGTCTCCCTCCAATCAAAGAACACTTTTGGGACCATGGGTTTCCATGGTCTTTAGCAGCTTTGGTCTCTAATTAGAATAATGAATATTTAAAGACATTTGTTAATTTGGGACCACATAAAAGAGATATTTAATTGGAGGTGGTCCTTAATTAGAGGTGTCTTTAATTAAATGGAGACCTATATAAGAGTAACTCATTTTTTAGGTTTGGTAACACAAGACTGAATTTTTGACGACGCCTCACATAATGTAATTATTTAAGTAATTTTATTTTATTGAGCATTGAAAGGATCTAGGACTTGACCTAGCAGCCTTTATTTTATTCATTTTATTACATTTCAGGATAAAGAAAAATACAACAAAAAAGCCCGCAAAAGATTATCAAAAGTGTACAACACTTTCGAGGGATCTCCAAGGCAAACATAAGTTTGAAAAATCCAAAATTAGTAGATAAAAAATATTTAAAACTACTACTACTACAAAAATATTATTGAAAGCTATTCAATAAAAATTATATTCGATGCATAACAGCCCTCTTTAAGTGTAGTACGAGATAAAAAAAACAAAACCGCTGTTCAAACAGCATGTTTCAATTTAGTATGCCTGTTTGCTGCAAAGGTGTTGTCATTTTGGTTTTTCACGTTTTGGCTTATTGTGTTGATCAGCTTCATATCAAAAAATAAATTTTGCAATCAGAGGGATTTCAAGTTTCTTTAAAAATATAATAACTGTTTCACTTCTTCATTTATGTAACCGTCACAATTGTAGGACAATCATTAAGGCTTTTAAATTTCATACAGCATTATGTTAAACAAGCATTTGAGTGAAATGTCTCTTCTCTCCCTTTAGAAATTGAACCCTCGATTTGAGATTAGTACTCTAGTTCTCTACCAGCTGTGTTACTAGTCCTCCACTTGTTAACTACACTAATGAATGGGTTTACGTAAACATGATTTTATTTTGGTTACTATGTTTAACACAAACACATCTCCATCTTATTATCATCAATATAATATTGCGTTTTTAAAGGTAGCCGGATTTCATTGACACAGTAACTGTGTAGAATTTGTTCATTAATTTTTCTAAAATGTATTTTATTGCAATCTGCTCTATGGGTAGAACATGTGATAGTTAAATTGGTGACATCGACATAAACCCTAGTTTTATGTTTTACCTGTTCAGCTCTTAGCAAGCCTAGGACCTAACTTAGAGGATACCTAAAGATAGATAGGATAGTTTATGCACATAGATTTTTTTGATATATTAAAGCATCAAGTTTGCGATTTTTCTGTAAATATCTTTTTAAATTTTATCGACCAATTATTTTTAAACAACGATATTTGTTATAAGTTTCAACCAAATGTTTGACGTTTGCTAATGTTAAATTAATATTTAAATTATCTATATAAAAATACACATACGTAGGTCATTGTCGCCGGCCGCCTAGTCGGTTTGTTTAGTTTTTTATAATTTCATTTTGTTTGTGATGCTAGTCCAAATGTTTGTTACACTGGGAACATTAATACTGTACGTTCGTATGTACTGAACATATATAAAATGTAGTGCCTCTCACATTGTACTAACCAGAGTTTTCTGCCTTTGCCTGCAAGACTTATACATTGTACCAGATTGCTCTATTTGCTTCATTTGCTAAATTTTGTAAACGTTTTACCTCATTCAAATTTTTCAGTCAGCACTAAAAGATTTGTTGTGCATTTCATTAAAACAAACATATCTCTATAATTATAGTACTATCTTTTCCAACATGAAAGCCACAAGTATAAAAAATTGTATGAACTGTTGTAGCATCGTCAGGCTAATTCAGTGGTTCCCAATTTGGTGTCTGTGAAAGATAATTGGAGGTCTGCCAAGTCTAAAGGGTCTGCTGAGGGTCCACAATATATTTGTTGGGGGTCTGTTAGACCTTTAAACCAATTTTTCATGATTCCATTATATTTTTGTCATCTTACAACAGTGTGATAAAAATCTTACTGCTAATCATTAGGAGCCTTTCAATTTTTAAAAAATAGTTTCGGTGCTGTAGTTTTGTGGCAAATCATCTTCTATCTATAATCTTACCATCATATGATGGGGGCGGGGGAGTGGTGAACACTTTTAGCATGTTTCGAGGGGTCTGCATATGCAAAATGGTTTGCAACCACTGCCATATGACAAAACATATTTTATTATTGTTTGTCCTTTTGCTCTTTTATAAGTTATTACTGGCATTTGTTAATTTGTTTTGGCAGTGGCACTCTACAAGCAACCCATTATTGATAAGAGGCATGCCCTATACATAGCAGATTGATCGATTGTAAATAATAAAAATGACGATGTTTATATACATTGAAAATATGCTCAAGCTTTTTCCTAATTAGTAGACCTCTTATAGGAGAATGTAGTGTACAGGATAAAATTTCAGTCTTCAAAAAAATTGGGAATTGAGAACGTATCTGTTGCAGTTGGTGCAGCCAGAGCTCGGGGGTCAATACCCATACAGTGCATTTTGCTTGTGTCCTTGGACAAGGCAATTTACATATGGTTGTCTTCACCCAAAGTGGGTACATGGTAGGTGATTACATTCCCCAATATTGTGTTCTAAAAGCAAAATTTGGGGCCATCCTAAACTATAAAATAAAATGAACACCCCCCACCAGGAATTTTATTCTGAGTGTCTGACTGAGGCTCTAGACGACCCCTTAGTCCAGACGGGAACCAGTCAATATGAGGGGATGCCACTTCAAGTGAATGCAAGTTTGAACAGATGCCCTTTCGAACAAAAAAGGATCCAATTAATTCTGATTTTCACCCTTTTTGGATGCAAATTTGCTGTAACATAGCCATTTTCTTTTGTCTGAACTTGTTATTTGTTATGATAGCCTTGGTTTTTGCCAATAAGATTGTTTATTCACATATTTGACAGTGGTGTATCCAGGGTATACGGGGCATCCCCTAGTCCATAGAAAATGTTTGAACCAAAAAAAAATCATGCTTAAAAACTACCTTATTTTGTGAACTAGCACCCCTAATTTAGTCATTTATTTACAAATATTTAAAAATATAGTTGAAATTCAATTACACTTACAATTACAATCAAAACTAAAATTGGCTTTTTTTTACTACAAAATCCCAGATTGAACACACTGAAAACTGTAAATATAGTGCTTATTAGTGGCCATAGAGTGGTCGGATTTGCCTAGACTGTAAGTAACATGGAATGATTATTGAAGTAGCAAAAAACTTACAAAACCTTGGTTATACTCTGAATTAAAACAATTAACAAAATACATAAATTTATGTTTTGGCCCATGCTACAATTCGCAGTAAACGCATTTGCTTGAACTGGCATCCGCTCGAACTGGCATATCCACTCGAACTGGCATATCCACTTGAACTAGCATTCGCTCGAAGTAGCATCCGCTCATACTGACTGGCATTCGTTTAGACCGCCTCAGACTTTTTTGGCGCCCCCCCCCCCTTCTCGGCAACTTCTGAAGCCAACATTGTTTGGACTTAAACAGACAAACAGATGATAATGCCATTATTGCAGATACAGGCTACCTTTAATAAAGACAGACTTTCAGAAAATAACAACAGAAGAAGCATTAACAAAGAATAAAAAAGATTAACTGTTGTATTAAAAAATGCTTTGGCATGTTTTAAAACAAGAGGTATTATAGTTAAAAATAGATGAACAGTGTATTTTTTGTACAATTCCTTGATTGCTGAATGCTGTATGAAGGGTTCTGTGTCACTAGACAATTATGGGAATCTATGGAGAACTGCTAGTTTACAGTGAATTTCTGCACAATGGTTTGCCTGTACCAAAACTCTGCTCAAATATTTTTTCTGCACTTTTCAAAATAATTGCTTCTGTAAAGGTAATTTTATAAATGTTCATCAGAAAACATTAAAGAAATGTAGATATACTATGAAAAATAATGTGAAAAATAAGATTATTTGAGATAAAATTGCATTGCAAACGTATATTGTCTTTTTAATTTTTATTTCGTCCGTTCTGCATTACATCATCATAAAGTGTTAGCTTGCTCATGAAGTGAAGTTTGGTTTCCATACAATCGCTACACGCTATCGCTGACAGCTTTCAGTGATGTAGATTGGTCGGTCGAATTGGGTCCTGCTATGCACTAGAACTGTAGAGACAGTGTAGTGATTTTAAGGACTAGCGGACTCAAGCAGATCAACCGCGGGTCAGAGTTGAGGGTGAGTCAAGTTTTGTCCGGCAGACTTGAATCGATCCGGCTGGCGTGCAAACTTCACCCTATTAATGGGCTTGCGACGCGAGGCCTATAATGAAGCGTTGTCTGGCCGGCTTGCAATTTAATGCCACTATTTTTTCAGTATAGATATGACACAACAGGGCGAGGGTTTGTAATCTCTAATATCTTGTTTTCTTATATTTTAATTCCGCTAGT